TATTTCTTTGATAACAAAATCATTGACTGTTGAATGAAAAGATGATGACTATCTATTTAGCTTGGGTAAAAATCAAATTCACTGGTTGCCCATGATTTCTACCAGTAGTGAGAGCATGGCCGTTTCTGAGATTTTAGAGGTCATGTGCGAAATTAATAAAAGGGCCCTTATTAAGATAGTTGTTTTTTTTTAAGGTAGGATAATGTATTGACGTTGGAAAGTAATCACTTAAATCAAAACAAAGTTTAGCACTCACTGATTGCAAATTAAAAAATGTCACTAATAATAAATAAAAAGAGCTATAAACACAACTTTCACTAAATAATCAAAAGCAATTTGATCTTAGACAACCAAACAAGAAAAAAAAACTTCAAAAACTCTAACTTTAAAGTTTCACTTGAATATATAACATTATTATATAATAAAATTGAAAAAAATACCGTTATTTAATGTGAAATTCCATCCCCGGAATTTCACCAATTATTACATATCTCGTATTTTAAAACTCGTATTTCGCGCTTATGTTAACTTTATTAGTTAATTTTAATTCCATTAATTTTAAGTTTAGTAATTGATTAGTTATCGAGTTGGAAATTTCATATTCAATCTTTATCTTTCGTTGATATTTCGAAGTTACAACTAGTGTTTTTAAATAGATCTCGAACCCACGAACGCATATGCGAAAACCGTTTGCGAGTCCGAATTATAACGATATAGTTGCTGACGTTTAAAGTTGTGAACTATAGAATGTGGATTAAAAGTTAAGTTAGTTTAAAAAAAATAATAATAATAGATAAAGAAAAAGAAAGGATCAATCAGATGGTTTTAGGGGGGGTGCTAGAAAAGGCGAACTAAAGGAAAAAAAAGGGACACTTTTTCTTCTTCCCTATTTGGTGAACCGTGTGCACCACCAAACCGTTTTCAAACTGGCCATTTTAGGTAAGTTCCTCCAATTCTCAGCTGATTCTCCTATCTCCTTCACCTGTAACTTGCTTAAATATCTTCTCCCTTCCCTCTCTACCAAAAAATCAATGGTTTTTAAGGTCTAATTCGGGTAGAACTCCATAGGAGAACCCGGGGGGTTCTCGACGACGAATTGTCGTTCCGGAGAGTATCACCACTAACCATCACCCTTAATCAACTTCCCTTGGACCCAGGAACAGGACCCAACTAGTGGTTGGGGCGTTGGAACACCAAGGAAGCCGAATTTAAGGACACCCACCTTAGGGTTTCGTTGGGTGCAAGACAATTTGAGGGCCTTCCTGGCCAAATTGGACTCGGCCACAGGTATAAAGTTTACTCTACTTATTGAATCTTTATTTTTGTAAAATTTGAAAATTTTTGGAGAAAATCAAATTTTCAGGTGTGTGACATTCGATTTATAAAAATGTTGTTGGTTGAATATTTTATCGATAAGTTCCGCCACTTGATTATTCTAGCGATTGATGATCTTACCATTGAATTGACACCAATTTTAGTATGCTATGGTAGATAATGTTTAAGGACCTTAGGGACTTACAAGTGAAAATCTAGTGATTGGATATTACGGAATAAGTGACATAAGATCATGGACCTTACTTTAGAATAACAGTTCGATTCCTCATTAAATGTTGTTGTGGAAAATATATGAGAGTTTTAAGTATGTGAATTGTCGAAGGAAATCTAAATGTGGTTTGTACCTTGTTAGGCGGTGATAGAACGTGATGTCTTGACTCTCGTGTTTTAGTGCGTTGTGGATCTTAGGTGAGTAATTCTAATCTATGTGTTATGGTTATTGCTTTGAAATCTTTTATGCTAATAAACTTTGTGGTTACACTATTGATTCTTAAAATAGTTCCGATGCTAAATAATTGTTGCTAGTAAGTTGTCGTCGATCTACTTATGAAACATTAGGTGACTTGGATAATTGAACTATGATAGATTGTGTTTTGAGATATATATGTGATGGTTGATAAAAATGATAGATTGTATATGTGATGGTTGATAAAAATGATGGATTGTGTTTTGGGATATAAATGTGATGGATGATAAAAATGATGGATTGTGAATGACCATTACCCTAGTGTCATGGGGTTAGGTGACACTAAGTCTGCACCACGTAGCAATGGTCCTGGATGGTCATGCTTGGTTAATCCGCGTTAGGGGACCATACTATTTGTGGATTGCACTTGGTTAATCCGCGTTGGGCGATTCTTATATCCTAGGTATGGCCATACACATTTAAAGGTGATCATGCTTGGTTAATTCGCATTGGGTGATCACCTTCCAATAGTTATAGGAGTGACTCTGCTTGGTTAATCCGCATTGGGGGGTCACTACCTATTTGGTTATTTTCTCAGGGGTGACTCTGCTTGGTTAATCTACATTGGGGGGTCACTACCTACTTGGTTACTTTCTTAAGGGTGGCTTTGCTTGGTTGATCTGTTTTGGGGGGCCACTTCCTATTTAATTACTTGTGTAAGTTTCGGCCGAATGACGTCTCTCTAACTCTAGTTTTGAATATATATGTGAATGTGGCCTTGAGAACTCTAAGTTTTGATTTAGAAAACTTGTTGGATGTATGTGTGACTCCTTTGGAGGTTGCAAGGTTTGGTAGCGATTTCTTATAAATGATTTATATTCAAGGTTTATAATTGTGAATGATGGTTAGTTTTATTATTAGTATTATATACTTTGTATTATTTATCGCTCACACAAGCTTCGTAGCTTATCCGGGTTATTGTTTGCCCGGTGCACAATTTCGATGGTGTAGACACTGATCTTACAGGTAACAAGTCTGAGTAGCTTTGAGAGGTTCGTAGGTGGGGTAGCAGTATAGTTATCAGAGATTTGGAGTGCTAGGTTACCCCTATATCCTATCTTGTACTTTATCTTTGGGACTTCCTTTTGAGCACCTTAATCTTGTTCTTAGTAAAGCAAAGATTATGCTTCTTTTTGGGATGTACATATTTGTAAATATTTTGTGGAGAACTTAGCCACCTTCATATTATTTTGGTTTATCAGTTAAAGTATTTTATTCCATAACTTATACCGTATTCAACAAACGTTATTTTCCTTGTCATGTGTCAGTTCTCGATGTATGTTGGGATCGGAGCATGACATTTAAGGTGATATTATTGCCATTAAAAGTATCTCATTGTACTCCAAATTTTTATATTTAGAAAGGAAAAAAAATTAAAGCTTATAATGAGTACACCATGAGATTTTAAAATGCTAACAAAAGCAATTTTTAAATATAGAACATTATTTCATATAAATATATATTTATTTATTTAGTTTTTTAGTACAACGATATATTTTCCACTAAGAGGAGGAAGAGTTTGGTTAAGCCACACAACGGAAAACCTAATTTGGTATCGAATTCACCATCCACGAGATTCAAACCTAAGATCTGTCACTTACAAGTGAAGAAAAATATCACCAGACCATAATACTAAGTGACTATTACATATAAATATTAGGTGACAAAATTTTTAGGGACCCTTTCAAATTTGAGGCCCTATGCGACTGCACCTTTCACACCTCTCAATACCCTCTCTGAGTGAGAGTTGTTTAAAATTGTTTGAAGAGCTCTTTAATTGTAATTATTCTTTTTTATTTTTCTATTAATTTATAAATAAGATTTCTTTGTATCGTCTAGGTTCTTGAAGTGAAGAAAGAGAAATAAAACTCATACAAAATACGTAAATCAACTAATTAGGTAACTTGACAAAAGCAAAAACCAATTCATTAATTTCGGGCTCGTTTGGATATACTTTTAAAATGACTGAAAGCGCTTTTAAAGAAAATGTTTTTGGGTTCCAAAAGTACTTTAAGTGCTTTCTGCAAAAAAAAAAAAAATCAATTATGTGCTTCTTCTAGGAAGCACTTTAAGTGTTTTTTTTTAAGGATTTACTTGCATTTTTACTAAGAATTAGTTTCAAAAATGCTTTTAGTTATTTTAAAAATACATCCAAATGAGTTCTTCTTCTTTTGTTGTTCCAAACAAATTTGGTAGGGATTTTATCATCAATGGTCCCTTATGTTTTATGAATCAATAGTTTTCGTCATTTATTTTTCAATTGAATCAATTCGGTCCTTCATGTTTATTCCCTTATATCAATTTGTTCCTTAACGTTCATATCCTTAAAAATTTATTAGTATGCTAATGTGGCATACATGTAGAATCAGAACTTTACTTATTAATTGCCATGTGGATAAACAAATTTAACTATTAATAAATATAAAAATAATTTAATTCAGTCTGAAAAATAAAATATATAAATAAATGAATGATAATAAAATCTCTGTTCTCTTTTTCCCTTCTCTCTTCGATCCATAACTCCCATGCAACCACCGCCAAAACCCAACCCAATTCTAACGCAAAAATCCGAGTCATGATCGTCAACGTCCTCATGCTTTACGCCTTCTTCACCTTGACGAAAAAACTTGAGATTATTGTTGATGGTGCCTGCGTCGCAACCTATATATTCTATAAAGCCAAACATTGACACCACCGACAACGAGAAACCACAAATTGAACCAATTTAAATTCAAACCACAAGTTGACGCCATCATGAGAAAGCGGAGAGGGAAGGCTTGGAGGAGAGGGAAGAAAAGAAATGAGAGGAACTTTTTGTCTATAATTTTTATTAATTAATTAACGTTTTATTTTAGAGATTTCTATTTAATATTTTAAACTATTTATTAATTCACTAGTGTGTTAGCACATTAATTAGTTTTTTTCAACAAAATTTGACAGCAAGAATCAGATTGACGTGTGAACTGAATATTGAACATTGAAGCTAAATTGATTGAATTAAAACATAAAAGTGAAAATTATAAACCATTTGTGGTAAATTAAAAAAAAAAAAAAAACCTAATTTGGTAAGTTCGTTACTTCTGAATTCATAAAAAAACAAAAAGTAATACAAAATTCACCGCACGTGCCACCCTGGCGATATGCAGGAGGAGCAGTGGAGTCAATCGGTTTTAATCCATCCCTTTTATTACAAAACCGTGTTCGACGAATTTGACGCTGTCGGTGATCCTCCAAATTCTCCTCCCCTCCCTCCCCCACATTCCTCCCACCTCCCCATCTCAATTCATTCCCCCAATTAATTTCTTTTCTTTTTTTTTTAATTTTCGATTTTAATTTTTCCAAATTTTGATCCGATTTTTCGTACCATCCGATTCAGATCGGACCCGGATCGGACTTAGAGAAAAAAAATGGCGGCATCTCGACGGCTACGGGACCTGCAATCGCAGCCGGGGAACAAGATCTGCGTTGACTGCTCCCAAAAGAACCCGCAGTGGGCTTCGGTTTCGTACGGCGTCTTCATGTGCTTAGAGTGCTCCGGCAAGCACCGCGGGCTCGGCGTCCACATCTCGTTCGTCCGATCCGTGACCATGGACTCGTGGTCCGAGATCCAGATCAAGAAGATGGAGGCCGGCGGCAACGAGCAGCTCAACGCCTTCCTTGCCAGCTACGGCGTTCCTAAGGAGACGGATATCGTCACCAAGTACAACACCAACGCCGCCAGCGTGTACCGGGATCGGATTCAAGCCCTAGCCGAGGGGCGTCCTTGGAGGGACCCACCCGTCGTGAAGGAGGCCCTAGGGTTTGGGAAAAAGAAGCCGCCTTTGGCCCAAGGCGGCGGCGGCGGAAGCGGCAGGGGAGGTGGTTCTGGGAATAATGGGGGGTGGGATAGTTGGGACGACGACGGTTTCAGATCGTCGAACGATATGAGGAGGAATCAGTCGACCGGTAACTTTAGAGGCGGCGTTGCTCACGGTGGTGGTGGTAGCGGTAGTGGTGGAAATGGAGGTGGCATGCCGGCCAGATCGAGGTCCACGGAGGACATCACGAGATCGCAATTCGAGGCTTCTGCGGCTAACAAGGAGAGCTTTTTCGCCAGGAAAATGGCGGAGAATGAGTCGCGGCCTGACGGGCTACCGCCCTCACAGGGCGGGAAGTATGTCGGGTTCGGATCGAACCCCGCCCCTTCTCAGAATCATAATGTGAATGCGCAAGGCGATGTGTTATCTGCTGTATCTCAGGTTGCATTATTTTTGTTATTATGTTAATTCTTGATTCGTGATTGTAGATGGAAATGGCTGATATTGATATACAATACCTTTCTGTTTTTGGTTTTCCGTTTATTTATTTTGAATAGGGTTTTGGAAAGTTATCCTTGGTTGCTGCATCGGCGGCTCAGTCAGCTGCAAGTGTAGTCCAGGCAGGCACAAAAGAGATAACTACTAAGGTATTTCTCTATCCATTCTTAAATTTGTTAGATGCTAGACGATTGCTTCGCTACTGCCAGGCATTTATATTTGGATATGATTGAAATGCCATGCACTACACTGCATGTTTAATACTTACTTTGAATGCCGTCAATGGCATCACTACGTATGCTGTATGCCTGCTGCATTTCTTTTGGCTATAGTGGTATATGTTTGGCACCCTTTGTTCTATTAGTTGTGTTTTTTCCTTTTCAAAATCCTCACTGTTATGTGCTTTGTCAGTTTGATAGTGTACAACTTCATGATTCTCAACTGTAATGTGTGCTTTTAGTGGTACTCTTGGTTTATAACCTTTTTGGTTCGTATGCCTGACATTTGGTTCGATGTTTTAACTGTGATCTTATTTGTGCAAACATCACTTTTGAGCTAGGAAACTCTAGCTTAACTGCAATAGCGAAAGGCAATAAACAGGAAAATGAAAACAAAGTGGTCTTTTACTTTTCAGCTTAATTAACATGTAGTTCTCAGTAAAAATGCATTTCTGATCATTCCAATCAGAAGATGGTTAGTATGCTGGAAGACAACTTTACTCTAAAAAATATGGTGATTTCCCCCTTTTAATTGTTCTTTTAAATATTCAGATAAATTAGGTGAACAGGCTCGATATTGTGTCATTTCTCTATTGCCTCACCAAGTAACTCTTTTTAATTTTCAAATTGTTTCACAAGTTTTATTTTGTAACCCTCCATTTCCAAATACAGTGGGTTAACTCCTCAGAACTAATGACTTGCTTATTGGTTGTATTAAACACCTCTTCACCTTGACCTCCCCACTTCAATAAATAGCATCTCGAAATACCATTACAACCATAACATCTCCTATAGACATAGAAACAATTACCAAACAGTCTACCCCAAACAATTACAAGCATAAAATCTCCCACGTGGCCTCAATTACTGGCAGGCCACCGCCACTACCACTACTCATCACATTCATCACCTCAATTAACACGTATCAAACACCCAGGTTGGCCAAATGGATAGCCATTGGCTCTTCCTATTCCTTTTGTAATTGATTAACCTAAATATCCTGAGGTTTGAAAATATTAAATAAAAATGTATTAATGGAGGGAAAAGGAACATATATCGTATGGAAGACACATCTGGGTGATTTACGCATTTTTGTTTCTCTTCTTTACTTTCTTTTTAACATTTTCAAGAAGGGTATGAGAGTTTTCAGTCCTAATCCATGTGTGTGAGACTGAGAGTTTGTGTGAGAGAGAGCGACCACTAAACATCACTTAAAAGCTCCATTTAGACATCTTATACAAAGTTTCCATAAAATTGTTCTAGTTTCATTTCTGTTATGTGGATGTGGTACACAATATTTTCACATTAAATTAATTTGCCCATTTCTGAAATTTGATAATGAAGTTGTATGATCGAACTTTTTTAACAGGTGAAAGAAGGCGGCTATGATTACAAGGTGAACGAAACTGTTAATGTTGTCACGGCAAAGACGTCAGAGATAGGACAAAGGACTTGGGGGGATTATGAAAGGGGTCATGGCAATGGCATCACAGAAGGTTGAAGAGTACACTAAAGACGGAACAAACTGGAAAGCTGAGAATAACTGGCAACGAAATGATAGTGAACAGAATGGATACTATCAAGAGTTTAAACAGGAGAACAAAGAATGGAATTCTTCTTCCATAGGGGGGCAATCATCGAGTGGGAATCTTAATTCTTATGGCTCTAGTTCTTGGGATGATTGGGACCAAAAAGACACAAGGAAGCAAGAGACTACTAAAGGAACGGGGATCCAATAGCAATGATGGTTGGGCTGGCTGGGATGATGGGAAAGATGATGGATATGATAATGCTTACCAGAGTGCATCTATTTCAAAGGCTGGTCACAATGGGAAATCTGATTCAGCGTGGACTGGGGGAGGCTTTAACTAAGGTTAGTGTGATACAGGGAACTAATTTTCTGGTCATTTATAACCTTTTCCATATCTTACCTTTTTACCATGCTGTTCCACCAGTATATGCGGGTGCTCGAAATGATATTTGTCTTGAATTGAATTTGGCTTGAGATGGTTACGGATTTAGTTTGGACTTCTTATTCCTGTTTTGCATTGTATATCCAAGTAGGAACCTCATGTGGTCCCTGCAATTTCTGGTTAACCCATATGTCACGGACACAAATTAGAACTCAAAACGGATGGATGCCAAGGGTGATACCTAGGTGATGGACATGGAATTTGATGGAGGCGGAATTGTTAGCAGCTGGTGCTGACTGATTGGTTGGTGATTTGTTGGAATTTAGATCCATTTCCATGGAAAAGACACTTTTGTTGAGGTTAGTATATTTGCAGTAAAGTTTTCTCCTCTCTCTTTCATCTGGAAAAGATTTTTATGTTAACTTAATTGGGATATTCATCGTTTTCCAAAAGTTGTTTATATATGTACAACTACCAACACGGGGGTTAATTGCCCGATTCAAAAGAGGACCGAAAGTTTGAATTTGTTTGTGGGATTTCAGGAATGAAATTTTCATATGATTTGCATTTGTTCTTGTTTGTTATCCCTCATTCAAATATCAGTCATTAGCAATCATCTGAATAGTATGACCATGTTCGGCTTCTCAAATCCCTGCCCCGCTCCCTTCTTTCCGTTCTCTTATGCTGCTCTATTTAACCATTTAGAGCAACTCCATTCCACTAAGGGAATTAGTGAATAATAATTGGCCGAGTGCAGCTCCGCTCCATAGATGGATTGGTATTAAAAAATTATTTTTATAATAATAAAAGATAATTTTATATCTAATTTTTGATCGGATTTTTAACCAATCTCGTCACGTCACGTCACATGTTATTATCCAATATTACAATTTTTGTGGTTTGATTTTTAATTTGATTTTTAACCAATTTCGTAGTGTCATGTGTCATGAGCTCGTAAGACGGGTTGGAACGCCTATATGTCTAATCTATAGAGGGTAGGCGCCTTATTCAGTAATACAGAATGTCCTTGAATAACTTCCTGAAGTATTTCTCCTACAACCGGTGCTAAAAATAATAGGCCAAGTGTAAATTGGTATGTTGATATAGTAAATAAGGACAAATGAGATAGAAAAAAGAAACTATAACTATAGGATTTGGATTTTGTGAATAGCTTTTTGATAAAAAATTTAACCAATTATATCGCGTCACGTGTTACTATGTGGATAGATTTTTGATAAGATTTTCAACCAATCACAGTGTGCCACTTGACATCATCTACAACCTGATCTTTTCATTTTTTTCTCTATATAAACCCTACACCCAATCTGAACTCACACGCCAAAATTAAAATCTCTCTAAAGCCTTTATAGTGTATAAATCTTGAGTTCTTACACTATCTTCTATAAGGATGTTCATGCTGCTGGACCATTTGTCACAATTTTGTATTTGGGCAACATTCCAACATTCAAAGATGTTGAATGACTTATTCTTGTGGGCCGCATTGTACCAAACTTGTGTTTGAACTTGAAGTGCCTACAATGAAGGATTTGAGGGTCCCTTCGTCTCTTGGAGGTTTTGGTCGGAAATACTGTCCCTGTAAGAGACGGGGATTTTGAGAGGCAATGACACCCCATGGGGATTGTAAATGGTCATCGCTCGCTGCTAGAGTTGTCATGAAGGTGGTAAAAACTGCCATCAGGATCAAAATAGCAAACATCTAATCGTTTTAGAATCTGCAAAGCAAAATTTATCATCGGATCTCTAAGGTCAACACGGACTTACCCAACGAAGGTCCGTTGGCACGTTCGTCTGGAAAGGTGAAGTTGCCCAACAGAATATAATTTCCGTCGGTTAAAAGTTGTGTGATGAGCTTTACGCGACGACTTTTGCTCAATGGATATCTGTTGCCTTGGAACCTAGGCGACTAATGTCTGATTTAGAAGACGAATTATTTTTGCCTCGCAAGTAGTTTTTTATTTTATTTTTTAGTGGCAATATATAAATATAAATATATATATATGTATATATATATCCAATCTCAATCTCATTGATGAATTTATTCAGATTCATCATCTATGAATATTCACTTTCTTTTTTTTTTCTTTTTTTTTTTTTCTTTTCGTTCAAATAACTATCATTCATAAGATTTGAACTGAAATCCTCTAACAAAGCAAAGACCAACGCTGTTAGACCATGTGATTATGAGCTAGCGTACACATGCAGAGACTTAGGTATAAACACTAAATTTGTACTTGTTAAATTAGCGAATTGGGTCACACAGATTCCTTAGAGATCTCAAGCACAGAACTGGAGGACTCATCCGCGACGAACCTTTCGTAATCACCGTGCAGTACCTTCGACACCGGAGCCTCCACAGCATGAGCTACGTCATATTGTTGAATCACAAGCACTGATGAGACCACACCCTGGCTCGATGAAGCCAATATGTCTCCAATGGGGCCTAACTCTGCATGCTCTGCATGGCGGTCGGCCAATTCTGCCACCATGGGTGACGGGAATCTTCCCTTGCCTACAATTAACAGGTCATGATCTCGACTTCTTCCTATTTCCAAAACCCCCTCCACAATGTTATTGGCTGCCACCTTCTCTATGTACTCTGCTTTCCCGTGCCACTTGCTTCTGAACTCAGCCACTGCTTCCTCATCCAGCTCCTGATGATCAAAATTTACAAAAGATTAATACATGCTTAAAAATGATAAACATATATACTAAACTTGTGTGATTCCCCTCTGTGAGTCATTCCGGCCCTCGTAATGGTGGACTGCTGTAGAGAAGCCACCAGCTTGTCCCCTTTTCAAAAAAAGAAAAGAAAGAAGACTAATCTTTTAGGGTATGACACGCGTGTGACAAAGGTGCATTTGTGAATGATCAAATAGATGAGAAAATCTTCCCTTCACGTCCCAGAAAGAGTATCGAACCGGTGAGAGGTAAATTATTTTCAAAATGTTGGAACATCATGCATACCTTTTCTTTCTTTCGGTCCATTTTAGCTGTGGAGAAACAATAGCTATTCTCGGTAGACTTGGAGGGCGAAGGCTTTAACATGATCCCATTACTCTCCATGCCCTCTTTCTCAACAAATTTCACAACCGTCACTTTAACTGTCGGGTGTTCGGCCATCCTACCGCCAAACTCCAAGGCCTCGCGATCATCAGGCCCACCTAAAAACACAATGCAAACTCGTCGGGTCACAGTGGTGCTAGGCCTTGGAGTTTGGGCTCCGGTGTTACCAAACCCCCGATCAACAAGCACTGCAACGGAGCACGGCGCAGTTTGAAGCACCCTCTGGTTGACCCCTCGCCAGCCGTGGCCAACAACCTCCGTCGCTTCATGATTATCGCCCTCACGCATCCATTGTTTGTGGAATGGCAAGATGATCATCGTCACCCTCTGGTCGTCCGCCACATGACAAATATCCTCGTACATTGTGGACAGGGCTGAAATTGCGGTTGTGGGTCGGACCGAGACTCGGCCCAATTGGCTATAGGCCTTGAAGGTGGAAACAGCGCCGTGGCTCCATGGGCCGCCGCCCAATCGATTAAAGAAGGGAAAGCCATTCTTTCGGGCCCGTTGGACCATGATGATGGACGAAGACCGCTCAGTGAGCTCCACAAGGTGCATGAGGAAGAGTTTGAGTTGGGCTTTCTTGTCACTTCTGACGGACTCAATGAGGCTAATGAGTGAGGGCACATTGGCAGGCCCATGAACACACGCCAGAACTCGAAGCTCGTCCTTGAAGGATTCAGTGGTTGACAGATCACAGAGCTTACGGTGAGTGCGAACTGAGATGTCACGTGCGGGCTTGTAAATGGCCATCACTAATGGACTGGTGATAAAGGTGGTGAAGAGTGCCATGAGGACTAGAATAGCAAATGTCTCATCATTAAGCACCTGAGATCAAATTAAAGAGAAAGTTGTAAGAGTTATATATAACACTTCGTATTGTAATTTTGGTGCTACGCATGTTACACATAACACTTCGTATTCGGTATTGTAACCTAATATGTAGAAGCCAATGGTAGAACTCTTGCTAGCACACGTAGAGGGATTTAACAATAACTAAATAAGATGTCATTGGAACACGACGATCCAAGTTATTACTCCAGCGTGTTTTAATTATACGAACACCTTAGATTAACATGATCAGGTCACTACATGGACTTTCTTAAGCTCGCTAGTTAGTTTATTTTTTTTATGTTTGTGCTAATAAACAATTCCTATATAGTAGAAAGCTCAAGTCTCCCTCGAACACGAACAATTCCTAATTCTCCTTAATTAGTTGATGGTTTTGACGAATCGTGACCTAACGGAACGCGTTGGCGTTGCATCATACTTCCCCATAAAAACCATAACCTTTTAGATTGATCCATTCATCTTCTGGGAATGCATAGACAAGAACAACGCGTTGGAGTAGCATTGCCATTATACTTAAAGACAACACTATGCTCCAGAGTACAGACAAATCCTATAAAGTTATATATATAAAACCTCCTCAAATAGACAGGTTTTTACCTTTTTTTACACAACCGACAAGATAATTCATGCTAACTTTATTTAAATTACGGAGGAGATTGAATAAGGCAAAAGGTGGATTAAAGAGGAAAATCTTGTCCAACAAGACGAATCCACCACTTTTAAATATTTTTTAAGAAAAACTAATGAAAATGATTTGAAAATTTTGAGTTTTAACGATAAAGACAAAATAAAAGGTAAAGTAATAGTACCAGGTTTGATATTTTAGTCTAAAAATATAGTTTTTCGTTAAAGTAAACAGTACCGTTAATTTTTCGTTAAAACTCTTTATTTTTTAAGTATAAGATTCGTCAAAGCCTATAGCAATAATTGATAGAATCTATATACCACCCAACTTTATTTTTGGATGGATTCACAATAAAGCAAAGGCCGACGAGACAACTATGCCAGATATGCATGCGTTTAACCTTTTCAACGACATTTAACTATCGAAGTGTGTCATCATGCGCCGGGGGGGGGGGGGGAGAAATTGTCATAACGCACCAAAGGATTCATGGATTGGCAAAAGCTTTTAAGAAATCTTTCAAAAAAGCAAAGAGATGAGGGGAAAAGTTGAGTTGTTGTTTTCAAATGATTTTGATTTTGCAAATGATTCCCTAACATCTCATGACACTTTTTTATTATCGTATTTTTCTTTTAAAAGTAATACAACTAATAACAAATTATGGTTACCATCCATTCTAAGCTCGAAGATAATATTCACAGTTTTAATTACTCTTTCTAGCTATTAGTACAATCTAAATTTTTGTTTTTTCTTTTCATTTTCCATTACTAGTAATTTGTAAATTTCATACTTGCTTTTATAATGGAAATTTGTGGTAAAAATTAAATCAATAATAATTAGCTGACCTTTTTCTCCTTGCCAATGTTGAGAACAATGAGCTCCACCAACCCTTTGGTGTTCATGAGCACACCAAGCGTCAACGATTCTCTAGCCCGAAACATAAACGCCATTGCCACCACAAACGTCCCCAAAATCTTCCCGGCACATGCGATCGATATAACAAGCACCAACA